GACGATAAATAAACAATTTTTCAATTATTTTTACCAGTTTTTAATAAATAAAAGGATAAATTATTTATGATTCACATTAACCTTTCATTTCAACTTTTAAGTACTAAAAACCTGATAAATATTAAGTTATGCAGGCAATTAACGCATGTTTTACAAAAATTCCACTTTAAGAGGCATATACACTTATCTATAAAAGCTTTATAAACTTAATAACCTTTAATTAATGTTTATTTAATATAATAAACATTAAATACTTTTCACCTCTAAAAATATCAAATGAAATCAAATTGTACTCAACAGAATTATCAAATTTGTTTGTTAAACACTTTACAGTTGAAATACATTGTAGATAAGTCGAAAATACTTAACAGAATTTCAAAATTTACTAATATAATTATATAAGTAGCATTTTTATCTTACATCACCATCATCATCATTTCAAAACATTTCAATTTATTGATTAAGACGAATGATTTATGAATTAATTTATCGAGTAATCAATATGATACCTTTGTTTTCTATTAAAGATGCCATATCTAAAAGAAAACATCGGCGAGGAAAGAATTCTTCCGATTTGCAACTATCATCTGATCATCTTGAGATTGCAAACCAAGATGTTTGTCGTCATGGAAACCTTATAAATGCGCAAATATCCACGCGCATTCGTAGAGAGATTATAAGATTATAAAAGAAAAATTAATTTACAAAAATCTTTTTTGTCTTTGTTAAATAATTGGATAATTCATAATCGCGAGTGACGCGAATTACTACACTTCAAAATTATTTATACATTGACATAATACATAACCATACTACAATACAGTTATTCCATATAAAATCTATTTTTTTTTCGTAAAATTAGAACTGAAACGGACGATAAATCAGTAAAAAAATATATAAAAATTATTATTATTATTTTTTAAATTTTATTTTAAAATTATTGTTACATTTTAAAGTCAGAAATGTTATACGAAATGTTATTGGATAGTTATGTTTTAGGATTTTATTTTGTAATTGGTTAATTATTTTATTTATAAATATTAACTTTTTTTAATATTAATTTTCTTAATTACACTTCTACAGCATGTGCAGATGAATGGAAATTTATTTCAAAACAAACCTTTTTTTATTTTATCATGTTAACCAATCGAGATCGATGAAGTTTTCACTACTGCCCTCTCTGTAAACGCTGTAATATAGATATTAGACGTCATAGTCTAATCGAACCTAAAATGAATTGTTTAAATATCGAAATCTTAATATAAATTATTTTCTTATTGCGTGTAGCTTAATTTAATGCTTAAAATAAATAATCTTCAATTAATTATTTTTCTAGAGCAGAAACGTAATATTAACGATATTTTTGATGCGACGCTCGCTTTGAAAGATATCATTTTTTTCTTTTATAAAATTAAAAACAACTAGATTAAATTGTTTCTAATTTTTTTAATTTGTTTCGTGGCATTCAGCTTTATCAAATATAATAACATAAAACAAGAAATTCTGATAACAAATCATTGACATGAAATTCTCTAATTCAACTTTGACTTTCAAATGGTCTCGAAAGTCGCGAGCCAAAAGTTAAAAGTATATCAAAAAAAGAGCAATTTTGTTTGTATTCTACATTCATAAAAGCAGTAAATAAAAATTAACACATATATTAAATCGTATTTACGCGTATCAAATGCAAGATTAAAACAAAAACATTATCAAGCAAAACTACTAACATGGCTTTTTTTCTCTCAAAAAGTAACGTTAAGATTCCGCTGAAGGCAATTATGCTGCACTTTCAGAGATTTGATTTCACTGAGTAAATGATTGCTTATCTAAGGTTATTACCCACGGTTAGGCGCGCGGGGTTATATAGAACCCCCGGGGTGTTTAAACGCGTGTATTTTTTAAAGTTTTTTGTGCTTAAAAATGATGCCCTCAGTACCTTCCTTCCATGGTGTAAAGATCGCACCGAAAAAATATCAATTTTGCACGAAAAAAATTTTTTGCATAGACTTATAATGGAAATCAGTGGGGTGCTATAGTACCCCGCGCGCCTAACGGTGTAATTTTTTTTCGCGCGACTAACGGAGGTGGGTCGATCTGACTTCGTGTTTTGAGGGAAAGCTTATTGGTTGATATAGAGTCAGTCATGATAGAAATGACCAATTAGAGCATAAAAGGCGTAAAAACAAAATTTTTAAAGCCAATAAACGGCAAAAAAGTTTCCCATAGACTTAACATTGACAGTTTGAAAGGTGGCGTTTTTTGGCGATATTTATTGCTAAATGGTGTTGAAAACATGTTTATTCGTCTAAATAATTTCAAGCGACTTATTATTAGCAAATTAGAAGTGGAAAAAAAGATTAAAACACTCGATTTTGTAGCGATTGTTTACATACTTCCGTGTGGTGGCCTTCGGGGGCGTGGCATTTCGCGGGAATATTTCCAGCAATTGTTTTTATAGGTCGATCTAATAACAGACATATAAATTAACCAATTACAGTGCAAAAGAAGTTTACTATAGATGTTATCTGCCAATAATCTCCATTTTTACCTCTACTTGCTGTGTGATTTCACATGGTGTTTTTTTGGAAATATTGAGATATTTTTGGCCCGGGGCTTCGTACAAAAAATTTAATTGTTGTAATAGTTAGAAAACACATGCAGGAAGACGATTGACAGCTTAGATAGCATCAGACTTGTTTACAGTTTGTAAAATACACTCTTGAAGTCGACCAATTTTTTTTGAAAAATTTCTAAAAACGGAAACTTTCTGTTTTTTCGTTACGAATAAATAAAAACGATATATTTGAAGTAGTTTTCTTCACTAATACATCAAAAACACATGCCCACAAACATCCAAAATGAAAAAATCGCGAAAAAAACTATGCGTTTTGAAAAATTGAATTTTGAAACTGGGGTTATATAGAACCCCGCGCGCCTAACAGTGCGAGAGTAACTGGACGCGCGTAACCGTGGGATTAAGCTAAAAAAAAGTTAAGAATAATTTCCACGATAAAACCTTTTCTTCTTCATCTTCTGAGCACTTTCTACTCAGAAAATCATCAATATATCAGATACATTTTCTAACTTTGATTATTTTCTTTGATTTACCTTTTGAGGCTGAAACTGAATTTTTGAAATTTTCACTTTATTCAGTACAGTACATAATATTATACTTAAGAATTTTTTTTCATTGTTTACTCTTTCCGCTCTGCGCGTACTAAGAAGGCGTTTTTAATCATATCCATCCTATTATAAGTTCGGTCAGGCCTCTTCTGGGGTGGCCACATGGTGACGAGACCCGACATCCTAACAGATCGCTGGTGAAAATTTCCTGGATTTAATTCCGGGTCCCCAGAACGGTTAACTGTTGCCTTAATTGCCTCGGTCTTCCAACTGTCTTACTATCAAAAGATTAATCGGAAGACTGAGATGTCCCAGATAAGCCTGGACCCCGTCCCTCGTCACCCGGCCGCTCTCGTTGTAGTCCTGCCAGAACCCATATGGATATGGAAGGAAAGCTCACAGGACGAATAAAGTTAGACAATGGGAATTTATAAGTATGTAATTTTTTTCAAATTGCAGCCAAACAATTCAAATAGATACGAAAGAATTCGTTTAATTTGCTAGTCACATAGTCACATTTGCTATTGTACTTTCTTCATATTCCTCTTCGTTCCCTATCCAAATATTTTATTAGAGTTTAAAATAAGATATAGAATTGGTGGTGAAATAAAGCAATCTTTCCCACGCACTATGGACGAAACTATTACTATTACATATTACTAAGATATATAAAAAATGATCTTGGAAAAGAGGAAAAATGTAGTGACACTCTGAAAGAAATGCGTATTTAAAAAAATGATAATTGCAATATATAACAGAAATGAAGATCGAATATACCGTAATAAGTTAACTAAAATCGCAGAAACAGTTTATTACCACATAAACACTTGGATACCGTTTTGACAAAGCTTCAAAGTTCGGAAATTGACGAATATTCTAGATTAATATACTGTAGTTTTGAGCTTTTTAACTAGAGAATGAAATAATTCTGCTTACAAAACAGGAGACGAACCATTTGATATGAGTACCGACCAAATCTCGGATCCGATTAACGTTATCATTAATTTTGTGAAATTTTAAAAGAGATTTTCTTATGTATTTTCTTAGGATAAGGTTGCCGTTGAGAACAAATCACACAGAAACACTTTTAGCGCTCGAATAGGAGCCTTAAAAAGACCTTTCGGAAGGCATTCCCCCTAAGCAGATCGCCCAAGTGTTGCGTTGCCGTAACTTAAGAAAACAAACAGACTAAAGTAGGCTGACCAAAACATTTACAATCAACCGGGGACATATCAGAATCAGAGAAAAGGGGGTCTAAAACACATTGAACTCGGGTTACTTTTTAAAATTGATTGATTGATTAATGATATTATATTAGCATGTTAATAAAATTATTCAATTCGAAGATTGATTATTGATTCTATAATCACTTATTAAAAACAGGCAAAACCGGGGACGTCTGGTCACCCTATCTAAAGGTATAAAGCAGTCGACATCGCTTAATTAATTAATGTAAATGTTGACACGGCCGACATTGTTTCAACATTTACATTAAGCTTGTATTCAGTGGATTGGAAATTCTTCTTGGACAGTCAGAAAGTGAAAAGAAAACTTGTAAATTACTCCATGTTGTAAGCCTGCATATTTCAAAAGATCTTACGTAATTATTTGATTCCAGTAATAATAATACTCAAATTTTGCTTTTAATTTAAACAATAGTTTTTATTAAGTTTTTTGAAAGTACATTTATTAATAATCATCGCTTCTAATTAAAAAAAAAATTCATTTTGAAATTTATATGGGAAGTTTTCAAAATCAAGATTTTAAAATAATCTAGAAAATTTTAAACATTTACCAAATAATATTAAATTAATTATTAGAATTAAAACTTGTTTCTCATTATTTAACAAACTTAATTTTCGAATTTACGAGGAAAACTGTTTTTTGTTGCTCACTAGGGGATCAGTATTTAACAAAATGGCTGCTGTTACGAGGGTTTTCTCCTTGAACAAATCGAGTAAACTTTATTATTAGTTTATTTTCATTTTTTTATTAATACTAAAATCTCTTTTAGCGTATAGTATTAATATTGTTGCATTGTAGTCAGTTAATGTTTACCTGATGTATAAAAAAAGTTTAAGGTGAATCACTCGGTAATTGACCATATATATATAATTAATAAAGAAAATTTTAAAAACAAAAATAACTGATGTATTACGGAGCAGATTCGTAGCATGCACACACATATCTTTACATTTCAAATCACATGCACTGTAAATCCAATTGTCAGTTTATATACATATGTTCCGTTGTACTGTACAGTACATGCTGCATATTATAGACTATATGTCAAATTTTACCTATGTGCACCATCGTGGCAGTTCGCGGTAGTTCTTGAACACGCGTATCGGTAACTAGTGACGTTATATGCTCGGCGGCTCTCCTCCGGGAGGAGTCGATCGGGAGCACGAACGATCCGATTGCTGCCGTGATAGTGCATGTAGCTAAAATTCTACCAGAATATATTATTCTGTAAGTATAAAAGTGATTGGACATCCAACTGTAGGACTGTTCCATAACTATATTTTAACAAAATCCAATATTCAAACCATGAACTGTAAGTCAAGATGTGTTATATACAAGTTATAGTGTAAAAAATTTAATATCTAATTGTACAAATCAATTATAAAATGAGTTGATGTTTTTGCTAATTATCTGAGTTAAAAAAAAAGTGGTTAAAGTAAACAAAGCTACACTCAGAACTATAGCTAATTGCTCGTTGTTGATGTAGGTCATTTTGTAGACGAGTATATGCGGGGCTCTCCAGAGAGTAATGAGGGCCTAGGGCAAAATACATATGGGACTTTATAGCAATAAGGAAGTAAATGAGAAAAAACATTGCATAGGGGCTCGTAATTTCTCGGAACAAAGTCTGTGCTTTTGTTCTTTTCTAGGTCGGCGGTTACCAACCGGTGTCCGTGGACCACTAATGGTCTGTGATAAAATTTTGGTGGTCTGTGGAGAAATTTGGATATTGATCAACTTGAGGTTTCATGCAGTATTACAAAAGAAATGCCAAATGCTTGGTTGCTTTTTCTCATTCGTTGGGAATTTTTTATTCAAATCTTAAACCAAACACAAAATAACTGTTATCAATAAATAATGTTGAGAGTGCTATTGTCTTCCTTTGTGGAAAAGAGCCAAGAATCCATATACAGTGGGTGATCGGTTAACAAACATAATCTCTTCCAAGACTTTGCTTGTTATCCGAATTGTTCATTAACCAATTATTGATTTACCATAGGTTTTTATGAGAATTTGATTAATTCGTTTTGGAAACTCTAAAAAATTAAAAACATATACTTTTTTACTACATTTATTTATATGTAATAGTAAAAATACGTATACATGCAGTCTTCCATTTTTATTAGTCATGTTTTTTGCATTGGTGGAGGTTAAAGAATCTGTCTAACATCAATTGCTTTTCTCTTTTCTTCAGGATTTTTCAGAAGTAATTAATAGTATTGTAATTGTAGAGATCCCCAACCCCATTAACCTTATTTTGGTTTGGATGCCACTTGGATGATCGTTGTTCTGACATCCTCCCACTTCTTCAAAAGATCTTTAGTAGCAAATGTTGACATTGATCTCTTTCATCTTCCTCTTTTTCAAAAGAAAACACATCTCGTCAAGTTTCTTGGTATTCTTCATTTGAGAGTTCTTCTGTCGTCAGACCAATTTCAGGTTCCATTGTGAGCTCTAAAATGCTCTTTATTTCTCAGATGTGATTTTCAATACTCCATTAGCAGCTTGAGACTTCTTGATATATCTTTCATAGCTAAGATTGTGCCTACTGTAGACCTGTTCAAGCCATACTGCCTAGCAACATCAGACATCTTGTGCCCACTTTCTACCTTGGCTATTACCTCTTACCCGGTTTCTACGGTGAGCACTGTTCTTGACACTCCTCTTTTTATGCTCCATAATATTATCAGTTTCTTTTTTAAATAAAAAGTTCAGAAAAGCACTTACAAAAATTCAGAGAACAGAAATCAACTAGCCCACAAAAAATTATTTAAATGCAAGGCCCGGATGAAATTTGAATTTATGTATTAAACAGTTAAACTTTCACCTTTCGTAAACAAAACCCGGCACAAAACTTAACAAGTGCCCATCTGACAGTCTTGCGAAGACTATAAAAAATTATTTGTCAGATAGGTAAACAAAGAGCTGGAATTACAAGGGAGAGTTTCAAAATTCGGAGGAATACCATCTGATTGGTATGGGGTTGAATGTCAATGTTGATGTCTCCCACACTCGGAAAGGTTTTGAATTGTTAACTGAAGACAAGTGAAAATCAATTGGTATTTGTTATTTTCCATTGCATCTTTTTATGTTTGTTCAGTAAAGTGTTCGTTATCCAAACGTGTTTGTGTCCGATCATAAAAATCTTTCACGAAAGTGTTCATTATCCGAACTTTTCATTAACCAATCACCCACTGTATTTATTTCAAACAAGCAGCAAAAAACTTCACATTAATTTGTTATAATTAAACAAGAGAATTTCATAGTAATAAAGTAAAATGGAACTTTTATAATCATTATTCTATAGATGTTTTGATAATTTAAAGAAAATTTATGACAGTGGTCCACAGGATTCAAAACTGTGAGGTCAGAAAGATTGGTGACTGCTGCTGTAGGCAGCGCTGTGTATTTGGATAAGTAAAATATTCATTAGTAGTTTGTAACATGTTATCAGTGATATCGGAAAACTAGAAAACCAATAGCTGTCAACTAGAATCAATCGTATGACTCATCTGATGTGACATCAAAATGCTTGGCCTAACTTTTCACTTTTTACATTTCAGGTTTTAGTCACTTTATATAAGTAGCACACACACAAAGGCTTTTAACTAACACAATTTGGACTGACTAGTTTTATGGACAATCGAAATAAATTACATATTTGAACTCTACTTAAATAATATAATATGTATTTAATATGATGTACAGATTAAAATTGATAACTTAAAAGTTATATTTTTTACTACTAGAGATTTTATGATGTGTTTTCAGTACATGATACTATCATTTTGATGCCATGTTTGAGAAATGGAGTTATACTGCTAAGGAAGCACATTTTTACTAATATATTTCAGTTTAATTTTTTACAGTGATTGTCATGGACTATTTTAAACATAAGGTACAGTACATTCTCTTAATACAGATAGTGCATTAAGATAATGTACTGTACCTTAATGCAGATAGTGCATTAATTAAGAGAATGTATTGTATCTTAGTTCTCTTACAAGTTAGTGTCAATGCACATTGTAAATAGTCTTTTTTCTCATTTAAAACATATAATCAAAGTGATGGTAGTATGTACTGTACTTAAAACACACAGCATCATCATTAATGTAACTTGCAAGGAATATAATGATGTCATTTTCTGTTTTCAATCTCAAAGACTGGTAAGTGTGATTGGTGGAAAATGGGAATGTTGCATCCCTTGCAAGTTGAAATTAGGATATTACAGGTTATCATCATTCACACTGAACATTAGCATCATCTTTAGTTATAAAAAAATTTTTATGAATCTTCTATTTTTAATTTGTGCATTGTAATCACATAAGACTATTATAAATATACTATGACACAACACAACCCTACTGAAGTCCAGCATTGGTGAATAAGACAGCTACACCCATCATAAACACCAAGAGACTACTAGTCATTTCAAGTCATTGTTTCTGTTGATAAGATTCAAATCCTATTTTTGTGAACTTAGGGACTTTCTCCTAAAGGAACATAGACTTATCAAATTAATTAATTAAAATATCTATAACCATAAGGTAGATAATAGGAAGGGCTTATCACACCAATGACAAAGGGCACAAACGCTCAAAAATCAAAGTAAAAAATTTTTTACTTTGATTTTTGAGCTTTTGTGCCCTTTGTCATTGGTGTGATAAGCCCTTCCTATTATCTACCTTATGGTTATAGATATTTTAATTAATTAATTTAATCATACTAAGGGCTAAAAGCAATTTTCTGCAATAGACTTATCAGCATCTCTCTTCTGTGTTGGATCTTGTACACCTATTGGTACATTCTTTTGTTGGTTTTTTTTATATATGAAGACAATATATACCTGCAGAGCAGAAGTGTACCCATGGGTAGCCTGCTCTCAGGAACTCTGTGAATTGGTGGTCAGGAAATTCAAAAATGCAATATTGCTGAGATGTTCTGAAAATATATTACTGTACACCAGATACGCTAATGAACGCACACATTCTCGTCATGTGGAATGACAAACCTAATCTTAACACCATTCGTAAGTATTTCAACAACAACCCTTTTGGCCTATCATTGTGTGTTGAACAGGACAGTCACAACGTTATGCATTTTTTTGGATATCCTTATCGACTTAAAGGACTATCATCTCTCCACTAAAGTTTATCCTAAGGATTCATATTCCCCTTTTTATACTTTACAGTTTATATGACCCTTATTGTTACAAAGTTTCCACTTTTTATCTTATGTTAAGAGAGCCTACATACAGTCGACCCCCTATAACACTGTTGATAATTCCATTTTATATGAATTCCATGTTGTATGAGTCACTTAGATTTTACAAATATGTGAGCTATTCACAGCTCAGCACATGTATTTGTAAAATCTAAGTGACTTGTACAACAAGGAGTTCATACAAAACGGAATTATCAACAATGTTATAGGGAGGTCAACTGTACATTGATCAGAGGAGAATGAAAGGGAAAAGGAGTTATCATGGATCACATCATTGGCAAGACAAGTATGGATACCTAACCACTTTTGTTAAAACATTCACAAGACGATATCAACAACCTAAGAACAGGCCCTTGCTACACGAGAGACAACTGATGGTGACGATGTACAAATAATAAGGCACTTTCTAAAATCTATAAAGAAAATTCCAGAGTTACTAATGTTAATATAGCATATCAATCATCTCCGATGATTTTTACACTCATCAGAAATGATAAGAATCCAATATCTGACTGTTACTCTCTCAGGTTTAGACAGTCCCCTTGTATGATGACAGAAGTCTGTCATCACACAAGACTGCGCATTATTATATATTGGTATGAATGTAAGGAGTCTTGCTATGAGAATGAAAGAACATGAATATACTATCAGAAAGAAACTTTATAAGGCCACAGCCTTGACCACTTACGTTCAAAGTGAGGATGTATATGTTAGTATACTGGAACACTACACATGGTGTCCAGTAGCACACACCTTAAATACCTGGAGGCCATTGAAATCTACAGGGCACTTAAGAATGGAGTAGGGATTAATTTTAAAGAAACAGACACACTACACACAGCATGGCAAGCATAATACAGTAGAGCATCGATTATCCAAATATCGATCAACCGAAACATCAGTTAACCGAAAGCGTTCCAGTTGGCAAATTTAAATTTTTGCTAGTGCTGTTGCGCTGCAATATTTGGCTATGTCTTGGGCTACTCCAATATTATTTTTGCTGGTGTATGTGTTTTAGTTGGCAGCACTGGCACAACCACGAGAGGATACTTGAGGATGTGCCAGGATTTGAACGAATTTCAACATGGGATAGGTTAATATATTTTTTCGTACATAATTGTTTATCTGAAAAATCGATTATCCAAACAACCCCAGTCCCGATTTGTTTCAGATAATAAATGCTCTACTGTATTTTTCTTTCATTTTCTTATACCTTGGATAGTTCCAATGAATAGGTTTTATATTCTCCAGTGAATGTCAACACATACAATATACGTCAGTGAAAGACCGAATATTTGATTATATTATTATACATTCGAATAATTGCAGGTGTATGTCGACAAGCACAGATAAGCTTTGGTGGAGGTTGAAACAACACCCGAGAAGCCCATGTCGACAGGGAGGCGACAGTATATCGTCAAATTCTATGCCGTTTCCTTCTGTTGAAATTGGTGATATTGTATGAATACAAGTCCCTGATGTCAACCGTGGCCGTACAGATGTCCGAAATGTGTTGGCAGTTGTTGTTGGAATAGAAGACTCTGACTTTTATAAATTAGCAAACAAAAATGGTACCCTCAAGCAGCTTTATACCCGCAATCAGTTTGTAATTTGTAAAGAAAAGTTACTTTCCATAGATCAGATTTCTTCTCAAGAAATGTTGCTGAGAGAAGTAGCTGCAGCTAATTCGAAAAGTGGAGGGCAAGGCTATACACGCTGTCATTGCAAAAAGAAGTGTTCCACGAATAAATGAAGTTGTAAAAGCAAGGGACTCTTGTGAAATTCAAAGTGCCATAACAGTTTAAGTTATTGCAATAAATAAGATTGTATAATGTTAATCGCATAATTTATGTGTAAGTTTATTATTGTATTATTTTCTTTAATAAATTTTAGAATGTACTGTTTGTTTTAGGTTTAACAGTTTATTTACATGCGCTGTTACTTAAGCTTTCTCCTATTTTGACATATTAAAAAGTTGCATTTTTATCTTAAGGTAATAAAAACATTTATATTCAACATTTGCCATCAGTGCATGCTGAATGTCAACATTTGCCGGTGTAAGTGAGTCATTTCGCGTATGTATGAAATATTTAGCAAATATTTCATACATACACGAAATGACTGTGTGAATGCTGACATTCATCGGAGAATGTTAACATTTGCCAGATATCGGTCATTCACAGTAACATATATATATGTAAAACCTGTTCGTTAGTAAGATGTATGTTTATATATTTTAATGGTCAAAAAGTGATTTTAAACTAAATTTGTAATTTGTTTGAAAAATTGTATTCAGTTTTAATTGTTCATTAAGTACTGCATTATATATATTGTACCTGAAGATGCCTGTTACAAACAAACAAAAACATTGGTGAAGATACTGTTTTTAATTAATTTGTGCTGGTTTCAGGTGTTTGTTTTCATTTATTTGCTAGTCATAGCAATTATTCAGCAAATTTATTTAAATGGTATAATCAACCAGCAAAAAATATTAAAAATACCAATAATTAAGGAAAGTTACATGCATATGTGTGCATATTATAATAATATAAAATAAAAAACATTTTTAATTATTTAAACACTATTGCTGGTCAGATGACTGTATGGGAAAGAATCACCACAAGTGATTTAGACTTGAATCCATTCTGTATCCTTATGATTTTTCTGTGTAGTATAGTTTGGGCATCATATTCGTATCTCACTATACATTGGACAATCCCTATGACAAATTAGGCTCATCTATAATTAGTGGTTTTTCCAGTTGACATTTCCTGAGGAAGGCCGATAAATTTAGTGGCCAAAAACGTTCAATATGTGTTTTTGACTTTTATTTGCTGGAAATTTTGAATTTAGGTGCGGTTTATGAATAATTAGTGTGATTGATACAGTATGTTCCATAGTACACACCATGATAAATCTTGCCATTTTTGCATTTGTGAATTTTGCTAGTGCCTTAAATCAGAATACAACTTAGATAAATAAAATTGAAAATTTTTGAAAACTATTAACATCTGAAAATAAATAACTTACATTAAGATGAATTTCTGTTTTTTTCTTTTTAAAGTAAGAGAACAGAGATTTTATAAAATTAAAAAAAAAATTTCTGGAAAAATCAGTTAATGTTAAAATATGTTTTCAGACACTTATTTATTAAACATTTCTGTGTAATGGTCAGTTATTGGCTGGTTTGCTTTATATATATAAATTTAAAAATCATTAAGTGAAATAAGATTATTTTAATTTGTTTACAGTTAATGTAGGTCGTTTGCTTAGTCGATCATTAACGACTACGACTGTCCGTCCTTGTTACAGTAAGTACTTTTATAATTGAATGTAATGTAAATATTCTGAGATTATTAAATAATCACTTCACTTTCACTTAATTTATATTTATTTTGTACTGTTTAATTCTAAAACAAATACTAATCTAGACTATGACAAGAATCTGATACAAACAGAGACAAAATTGTTTTATTTTGCTTTGTAGACACTAACAACAGCTTTCTTAATGAGCCTACAACAAAATGGTCATGTAATGAGAATTACTATAGGTGCCAGACAAATGTAGACCAAATAGTCACAAGAATATTTGAGGATCAGATGCTAATTAGATCATAGTCATCCAGTCATTTAAACATAATTATGTATTCAAGTGATATTAATAACCGATGAAAAACTTTCGCACATTTCCAGCAATGCCATCAATGTAAATGAAAAGCAAATGGTTTCAGCCTTGTTCAGGGACCAACATCAGGCTTCTATAGAAGGTTCTCTTCTTTTTTATTTGTTTTTTAGACAAACTTTTGGAATTTGGAAGGTCAGGTTTTCATCAGTTATACAATAGTTCCAACTTTAAGGAATAATAATGTTTTATGTACATTCATAACATATTTTTGTTGACTATGTACAATCGTATTCAGATTTATTTATTCTTAGTAGTATAATAATACATATTGTAGATATCATAATACCATATTGTAGATGATAGGCAATTTCCATATACATTTATATGTATATGGAAATTGCCTACTATCTACAGAGATGGATTACATTAAAAAGTTTATGTTGATAGCTAGGTAGCCAAGTGGTCAAGATGTCAGCCTACCACTCTGAGGGACCTGGAAACAAATCCGGATTGGTAAAAAAAAAACCGCAGTAATTTACCACCGGGTGATCATTCCTGGATAAGTCTGGTCCCATCTCTCATCACCTGGCCACCCTGTTGTGGGTTTGTCCAAACCAACAATAGGCTTGATAAAAGTCCTCTTAGTACTCATGGAAAGGAAATAGTAAAGAACAGTTTTTTATATTGTATTTTTAGTGTCAAAAGTTACATATAGTTCATTACAAGAAATAATGTATACTTTTCAAATTTATATATATGATAAAAAAGTATCTGACCTTATTTTTTTTCCTTTGTAAGTATTTGCAAGCTGGGGAGAAGACTGTCATCAAGTGACCTTGGATCTTACTGCATATGTGTGAATTTTGGTTGACTGCAGGAATATCCTACCCTGCATTCAGTGTCAGGCAATTACAATAATTGCATATATATGCTGTTATTGTCACATTAGTGATTTGGCAGAACATAACAGATCCTGATTTCATGAAGATTGTGATAAGAGATGAGACCTACATCTGCAGGTATGACCTGAGAGAAAGGCACAATCATCCCAATGAAAACTGCCATGGTATCCATGACCAAAGAAGGCATAGCAATCACACATCAATATAAAGATCATGTTGACCATTTTTTTCCGACCACTAGGAGTTTATCATGAATATTCCTCTCATGATAAAACTGTGACAAAAGAGTATAACCTGACTGTTTTACATCACTTGAGATACTGTAAGATGCAAGAGACCATAGCTCTGACAGTCTGGTGATTGGGTCATTATCATGACAATGCTCCCCTCCATGGATTGTATCTCATTCAGACATTGCTTGCAAAACTGGGTATTACATAGGTTCAGCGACCTCCTTATTTCTCAGACATGGTTCCAGACAACTTTTGGCTTTTTTCCAAACTCAAGATATTGCTCAAAGGAAATAGATTTCAGGACGCATAGATGATCAAGACTAACATGACAAGTATCTGATGGAGATCTTGATAAATGACTTTGAAAAATGCTTCCAACAGTAGAAGCATTGCTGAGAGAAGTATGTGAACTCATTAGGGGCCTATTTCAAATAGAACTAGTGTTTGAACCTAATATATATGCAGGCATTTTTTTTCTGGCTTCAGGTCAAATACTTTTTGATCAGACCTTATATATTTAGTGATAATATATTTAACTAATGATTTATTTAAATAATTTAACAATTGAACTAATATAGTATAATTTGAATAATAATGCTTTCAGAAATAATCAGTGAAGAAGATCCAAGCATGAAATGGAAAGACATTACGGACAGAGCTGCCGTAACTCTGTTTTGGACAGAATTATTCCGAGGTCTTTAATGTTTTTTTATTTTTAGATGTCTTTTTTTATATAATTACATTATTTTAATTTTATGAATCAAAATTATTTATAGGATTGGGGGTAACTCTTGCACACATATTTAAAGAACCTGCGACTATAAATTATCCCTTTGAGAAAGGTCCTCTGAGTCCTCGATTCCGAGGTGAACATGCCTTACGTCGTTATCCTTCCGGAGAAGAAAGATGTATTGCTTGCAAGTTATGTGAGGCAATATGTCCAGCTCAGGTACATTAAATTTTTATTATTTAATATGTACTATTGTCTTTTAATGATATGAATGTACTATTGTGTTATAGGAGGGATACCCTCATATAATACAATAGTTATGTTCCAAAAAAAGTGCTGTATTATGCAAATCCATGCTATATGAAACCAGAGGTCTAGTGCAAAATATAGAGTTAGATTTCAAAAGTTAACAAAAGTATACTATTCTTTTTCATTACTAAGAGAAATATGCTTATTAAACAATCAATAATTTATTTCCAATCAATAACTAACTAACAATTACAATTAAAAGTACTGTATTACATTTTAACAAAAAATACGTAAAAGAGACTAAAAATGTCTTCACTTTTGTCATGTCTAATCACCAGGAACAACAGTCTTCCACCGCAGAGATGACCTTTCTTTAGAGGCTACACCTCTGCAAAAACATGCAAAACAGTCTCCAGAGAACTTTTAGGCTGTTTTGCATGTTTTTGCAGAGGCAAAGCCTCTAAAGAAAGGTCATCTCTGCTGCAAAAGACTGTTGTTCCTGGTGATTGGACATGACAAAAGTGAAGACATTTTTAGTCTCTTTTACATATTTTTTTGTGTATTCTGAAATCGTGTCTTCTTTTATCTGTTTTTATCTTCACAATTAGGTGCATAGATAGACACGGCATTTCTACATTATCTTTATTTGGAATATCCTATAGGCCGGTACGTGTTTTGGGCATAAACCCCTCATCTGTCTGCATGATTTCCGGGATTTCTTGTAGGTGGTTTTTGACATGTATACATTCCGTGTAAATAAGTAATTTTAAACGGAATGTATACATGTCAAACACCACCTACAAGAAATCACGGAAGTCATGCCGACAGATGAGGGGCTTATGCCCGAAACGTGTATCGGCCTATAGCAGTGGTTCTCAACCTGGGGTACATGTACCCCTAGGGGTATGACCGTAAATCGAAGGGGTACATCTAACTTTCATTATAAAATGGCATATGTTAATAAATTTGCTGTAAATAATAACACAAGAAACAACAAAAACTTGCTTTAAAATATCCCAGTGTGAACACTGATTTCCCTTTTAACAGTCTAAACAACTTGTTTATCCACTTGATTTGCCTGTCTATTTTGCCATCAGTGCTGAACCTGGAGTCTAGTAAAATTACTGTTTAACCGAGCATTAATTTTAGAATAGAAAAAAAATTTTTTTATTCTATAATTATTGTTCGATAAGATTGGGCTTTTCGAGTTTTTACAGGACTACTGGTTTAGGAATAATGAGACCTGGATCGTACCTTCACTATGCAATGCGTATCACTGCATGCGCGCATTTCTTGATATTTAGCAAATTTAGACGTTACATTTGTTACAAAAATTGAAAGATTCGTGTATTGTTCTGCACATTATAAATTTGCAGCAATTACTTTCAAGGTCACTACACAATTATAATCTCTATTTAACAACGTGAGAACCAAATTTTGAAAAATTGCTGAAGATTTATCACAACAAATATCCCATTAAATTTTCTTAGAAATTATTGCAGAATAATTTAAATTTTCTTTATCATTAATTATAATTATTTATTTTCAGGAAATGTAATTTATGCATGTATTGAAATGACTTCTGTGATTTTATATAATATACTTGTCAAATAATAAATAAATGTATGTACCTGATTAAATTTATTATTATTTACGTAAAATAAATAATTCACTTTTAGTTATAGTTAGTCAGAGTTTTTTTTATGGCGCTCAGTTATAAGGGCTGTATACATCTAACACAGTAATTATAAAATTTATATACAAAAATATAAGAGGTACTTGAGAAACAACTAATGGGCTAATGGGGTACATCAACAAAAAAAGGTTGAGAACCACTGGCCTATAGGATATTCTGAATAAAGATGATATAGAAATGCCATATATCTATCTATGCACCTGGTCATGAAGATAAAAATACATATATTTTATTAAAGTGTAAATTTGTCAGCCCTTTTTTACAAACAAAATACTGTATTACATATTAATATTAATTTTAGTTAAATGAGGGTATTATTTTTTTACAAAGTATTGTCATCATCTGAACTTTTTTGTTGATCTTGATCAGAAATATCAGCAACATCTTCATTTTTTTAACATAAAAAATTTTAATGAATGACATAATACAAAATAAAAATATGTTATTAATTGAAAATTTGTTCTAGCTGGTTGCATTTGTTCAGTCAACTGCTGAGTGATTTTTTTTCCAGAATTTGTGTTCAAATATCAAATTGTTTGAGTACTGAGATGCTGCTGTATTTCATTTGTCATTTTTACAAATGATTACTTACCTATAGTTTAAAAAAATTTAATAACACTTACCTAATAATGTTTAAATAAACTTTACTAAATACAAAAATTAATCTATAAAAACAAAACCGTGAAAGCCTTAAAGGCTAAGGTCTGAAAGCAACAACAATGACTCCTGATTGATAGGAAAGCTAGGACAAGAAAGAAAAAATTTTACCAGCAATTTTCATTAAAGTAAACCTGACAAAAGGCACAAAACAAATTGAAAATTTCAATATTCTAAAATTCATGGGCAAATTTGAGGCAACATGCATGCATACTTGAATTTAAAAAAAATCTAGCAATGAGTTGCTTAACTTTCCCAGCAACATTTGGTGGCACCATCTGTTATGATATTTTTAAAAAAAATTTTATATTTTTAACTATTATAAAATGGCAAAAGCTTAATTTTGAGGGTAGGGATATGTTTTATAAAAATCTGTAAATGCTAATAACGAGTAAAATTGTCATTAAGTCTGACCCTACTAGAGATACATATGACCCCCTTTATCTCTCCACCCCTTTGATCTTTAATCATTAAAATTTAATAGTATCAATCCCCCTAATAAACAAAATTTCAGAAANGTGTTTTATAAAAATCTGTAAATGCTAATAACGAGTAAAATTGTCATTAAGTCTGACCCTACTAGAGATACATATGACCCCCTTTATCTCTCCACCCCTTTGATCTTTAATCATTAAAATTTAATAGTATCAATCCCCCTAATAAACAAAATTTCAGAAATTTTCAACAAAAAGCACAAGTGTTATTAAGCTTCAAAGAGGGTGAACAAAATTGTGTCTCACATACACACACAAACATCCATACATACATACATACATACATACATACAGAAAAATTCCCTGAATCCTTTTGCATTTTTTCATGTTTCAAGGTCCCAAGTCCAAAAATAAAAAATTTGGGGAGGTCATTTTTTGACTGATTGCCCTCTGTTACACGTAACATCCAGGGAAGTAAAAAATATAGACTAACAGCATTTACACTTAATTGTGAAATTTTGTATGGAGGATTTCCTAAATTCTTAGACTGTGTTAGAGAAAAAGAATGTTGTAGAAATACTCTGTTGTACAAGAAATACCTGTATGTAATATGAATAAGACATTACAGTGTAGTAAAGTGATGATAGAGGAATTATTTATACAAAACAAAAGAAGTTTTCTGATTTCAATTGAAAAGAATAGATGATACATGACATTACATCAACTTCTTGATAATATATTCATCCTCAGAAGCCAAAAAAATTGTGTTGCCTCTTCCTTGTACTATTATCACTCATATAACTGATGACATCAAATAACTGAGATGTACCATAATCCAAGAGAATTTTAAATTCAATTAGAAGCAACATAAAGAAGCATTTTTTGGCAAAATAGTTTCCATTATTGAAAGCATATCTTACCAAATTATTATTTACATTTTTTATGAAGGATGGATATGTAATGAAAATTCTATATTCATTCATATTAATTTGACATAAACATTTAATGCACAAGTAACATAGAATTTAGTTAAAAAATCCTTATTTTAATTGTATATTTGATGGAGTATGTTTTTATTGAATAAAACATGGAAATTCATAAATTATCTCTAAATTTATTTACTTATTTCTTATAAAATTATTGTTTATTGGTTTAAATTAAAATATCAATGCCAAGAAAGGCAATGATTGCTATCCCTGAATTAAAAATAAAATATTAATAAAACCAAATTAAAAGGAAATGACATAAGAAAGAGAATGCAGGATTTATTATGGGTATAAGCTGTTGGTATTCTAAACATACTAAAATTGGGTAGAATTAAACCAATGTAATATTTAATTTGTGTGAAAAAAATTTGGTAAGCCAAGCTTGCATATTATTACTGCAGGAAAGGTTGTATAAGGTAAGTTGCTTAATTTATTAAGAAGTCTGAAGATTTTTGATATTCTACTATTATTGTATTAAGTTGTGTTTGGCATGAAGAGGCCCATATAGTAATCAATTATAGATGAAAATTAGTAGGTTATAACGAATGTGGTACTTGACAGGAGGAAATGGATTGACAAGGTCTCCATACAGTTCACCTGCAGATGGATAAACATTTTTATTATTTTATTTATATTAAGTTTAAAAAACTAACTTTTTATCAAAAATTACACCCTGTTTATTAAGCATATTGGTATAAGGTAATGTCTGATTATTAAGTGTAAAAGGGAATGAGGAGTGCAATAATGAGTAGCCTATGACAGATAGAGGATTTAAGGATATTAATTCTAAGATTTAGTTTTTCCAGTCTATTAGTTATGGTAATTATGTCTCCTAGTAAAGTAATTGGATTGGTACTAATGAGTTTAATATCATCATAGAGTAATACTTTTGATTTGATGGATTTAGGGAGCTCTTTATATATGCTACAAAGAGCAAATTACTGAGGACTGATCCTTACTGAATTACTTTTAGGGAAAAATTCAGAAAATTGCAATCTCCTAAGGTAATCTGACAGCTGTGTGGCAAAACATAATTATATAGTTGTATTCATTATTTTAAGCAAATTAATTTGTTTTAAATATTACAAGATTTATAATTGTTATCAAGATTAAAAACCTGCAAACTGAATAGTTCTTAATTTATTTGTAACAAAATATAGGTCAGAGAATAAGCTGAAAACAGTGTTAATAAATTTTGTCATTTGACTGTAACAATTAAAAATTTTAGTAGAATCAATATAATGTTTTGATTAACATTGAATAATAAAAAACAGCCTGTTAAAATAAATAGAAATACTAAAATTATTAACTATTATTTTGATTATAAATAAATTTATATTCAGGCAATTACAATTGAAGCAGAAGAGAGAGAGGATGGAAGTCGACGAACCACTCGCTACGACATAGATATGACAAAATGTATTTATTGTGGATTTTGTCAGGAAGCCTGTCCAGTGGATGCAATTGTAGAGGTAAAAACAGATTTTAATATTTTAATTGTATAAAATGGCAAAACTCTTTAATAATTTTAACTTTTTTCATCCAGGGTCCAAATTTTGAATACTCTACAGAAACTCATGAGGAACTGTTGTATAATAAAGAGAAATTGTTAAATAATGGTGACAAATGGGAAGCTGAAATTGCTGCCAACATTCAAGCCGATCATCTGTATCGCTGAGATTCAGTTTAATTAACAGTTGACTTAGTAAGTTTTGTATATAAAAATTTGTATGTATAAGTAGAATAAAACATAGCAGTGTAATTTAACAAAATAAAAAGGAATTTGATCATTAAAGTAATTATTTAAAAGTGTTTTTTATGCAAAGTTAATATAAAACTATACAGTTTTTATTTAAGAAGAAAAAAACATTTTTGAAGACATTTTTATAATCTGTTTATTCTAAGATTGTGGTATTATGATTAAGATACAAAAAATTAATGTTTAGAATGCTCAAAAATGTGTGCTTTTACATGATTAACTTTTTATGATATCTTATCATTAATATACAATGACGTACAGCAATTTTGGTAATCACTTATCAGACGATATGGTAAAAGTTATTATGGTAATTCCTCACTTAATATTGTTAATAGGTTCTTGGAAACTGTGACATTAAGTGAAACAATATATAAGGCTAAATGATACAAGTAAGATATTATTTGGTTAATCTGATTGGATCGTGTTGTAATCCCCAGCATTTGTTTTCCACATAGAATCAATTTTACTGTTTATAAAGAAAATTTTACAATGATAATAGTAAATGATTACAAGTGTACTTACATCTTTCCATTCTTTCCTCAATGATGTCATAACAAAATGACATTAAGTGAGGACTTGTTTGTTTAAAATCATCATGAAGAATTTATATAAATGATTTAGAATAAATATCTTTACAAATCTTTGATTATTCTTCATAAACAAAAAATATAATATTGTAATGAACAGTGCAATGAATGAATGTTTTAATTTAGGTGGAGGACGAAGATAAAATAATATATTTTTTTATATGTTTATGTAACACATGAAATGACTAAATCTTTCACTTACACTTTAACTACACAACCAGAATTACACTTTTTGACATGTTTATTGCTTTTGACAATAAACTATTTATTGTCAAAAGCAAAGCTGTAATGTCAATTTTGTAAAACTTGATAAAATATATACTGTACCTTTTTAAAAATGTAACAAAAATCCAAAATCCTAGTAAAAGAACTTGAAACATTATTAAGGAAAAAAATTAAGAAGACGACCAAAAAATTTTTTATATGTAAATAGTTTAATTTACAACTGGGCCAAACTAGTTATTTGTCCAAAATGCAAATGTAAAAAAGAAGTATGTTATTGAATAAAACTTTTTTTAAATGCAATAATTATCCACAAGGTCTCAATTGTAAGTGGTTATAGGATAAATTCTGTAATCTCAACTACACTATTTTAGTGTTTATATTAATTATAAAAAAAACCCCATCCTCCTTTGTTCCATAATAATTATTATTGGTAACTATCGTTCAAGAAATAGAATAATTTCATTTTGTTATCATCTTTAAACCAAATTTATAATTGAACAGTTTCATTTGCCATAAACGTTTTCAAGTCTTTCATTATCAGATATCCTTGTATAACAGATTAGAAAAACTTTAACATTTATAAGTTTTTGGATTATCTCTGTGACATCAGGAAGTAAATTTATGACAATGCTAACAGTATAATTTGCATTGGGACAATTCTAGGAACTGCTGCACCTTCTAAAATGATCCTCTAAAAATATTTGTTTCTTTTCTAAATGAGAGAATGAATTTTATTATATTTTGTTTATGAAGAAAAATTTATATAGTTGAGATAGAAAATAAATATATATATATATTGAAAAAAACAACAAAATGATTTCAAATATTATTATATTAATTAATATGATAAAGGAGGCAAAATTATGTTTAGAAATACAAAATACAGTGGTGCCTTGTATAATGTACTTAATCCGTTCCAGGTGCAGGTCCGTTAAGTGAAAAGTCCGTTATGTGAAACGTATTTTTCCATAGAAATACATGTTAAAACATATAATTCATTCCGCAGCATAAAATAACCGTACTGTAATATTAAAAAAATGAAAATGGAGCAGTCAACAATTATGGTCAGTCAGATGTTGTGAGGAGAACATGGAGGAACACTTTCTTCACACATTCATACAGATACAGACTTTTTACACATTGCAGCGGGTCTCTTTTTATTGTTTTTTAATCGGAGTCAGATTCAGGAGAGGCTACCGGGGCTTGCAGGGTCAACTCCTCTTGTTCCATCCTTTATTTTTTGGCAGCTGGCTTCTTGAAAAACATGTCCAAGGTGGTCTGTTTCTCTCTCTTCTTCGACACCTGTCAGAAATGACGGGCAAGGGTGTCATTGTAGAGATCATTGATCCTGTTGGCCTCAGCTCTGTTTGGATAATGAGTGTTGTTAAACTCCTGAACCTCTCCCCATTTGACAAGGAAGTTTTTGTCAACTTTCACTCCTTCTGATGATTTCTTGCTTTTTTTCAATTGAAATCGCCTTTCTGTTTTTTTAGAAGCCATGATTTGCACAACACTCGAATAAATGTAAATAACCTTCACTGAGGTGTTGTACGTAATAAAGAAGGGAGCAAGCCGAATCCCAACGGGAGCTCTATACTTCAGATATACTAATAATATATTCTAATAAAACTAATATATTATAAAAAATAGCAGATTGTCATTGGCAATGGCAAAAGAGTGGAAACATCATTCACACTTGTTTGCAGAAAGTCCATTCTTCGCCTCACGTAACTTCTGAACAGAAAGTCCGTTGTTCGCAGCCAGTCCGTTGCTCGAGTCACATAACGGCCAAACAAAAAGTCCGTTATTCGCAGTGTCCATTATTTGAGGAATACATTATACGAGGCACCACTGTACATTTTTTTACAGTTTTGTATATTAGCAAAATTTCTGATTATGACAAATTTATTGAATACACATTATAATATGAATATAATCTCTAATACCACTAAACAAATTATATAAGTTACCTTATGATTCTTCTGTCACTTCTTTTTATAACCAGACCAAAATTGATAAAATAGAAGCTTTATATAAAAAAACAAGTTCTTCTAGAAAGGTTTAAGCTAATAAAGGTGGGCAAGAAAGAATTTTATATAAGTGATGAGTAAAATAAATATCTTAGGCCTTCTAACTACAACTATTGATGGAAAAATAATTTGATTCTACCAAAAGTTAAGCACTGTTTTGGACGAGATGCACCAATCTATCAACTTATATATAACTGGAATGCTTTTAAAGAAGAATACAAAGATTTGAGTACTTACAGGCAATTTAAACGGACTGTAAAAATATTGAGCTGCGATTAGTTGTGTGTATTTTTATTTTATTATTATTGTTTTTCTTTTCTCTGTTCTTTTTTATTGTTTTGTTGATTGTATATTATATATATATATGTCTGTATCTTTAGTTTTTTTTTTCGACCCTTGAAAAAGCCCAATGGTCATGGATCATTTGGTTAAATAAATAATAAATAAATAAATAAAATTTTAGAATATTTTCCAAGCAAATGCCTTTAGGCAAAACCGTCACACTGGGGAGGGAATTTTATGGACTTCTCAAACAGGAATGAAAAGAAATTAAATAGAATAAATGTATTATGACGAGAACTCTAATATCCTCAGGATAAATATTTATATCTATGTATCAGGGCTGTGGAGTTGGTAAAAAAACACTCGACTTTGACTCCTGACTCCAGCAAAATTAAATACCAAGTCATTTTATGGGAGAGCAGAGGCGCTCATAGGGGGTACCTACTCTGAACTCTGAAAGGAATCCGGGCATTTACCTAAATACTTTTATAGTTAGTATTTTTAGTATTTATTTGAATAAAAAAATTAATTTTTAACAAATATTTAATAAGAGGAGAAAGGGGGCATTAAAATTCTACATCTACATATATTTGACAGCATTTGCACTTCAATTTCACCCTTCCAGAAGAGTTAGTTCAACTAAAAAGTGTGCGATCTAGCTACTTCAGCCCCTTGTTCAGAAAAGAAAAATATGTACTCTGATCAATTAGTCTGGCTCATTCAGAAAAATAGAGTACTTATTTAGAACAGGGATAATAAAGGAATGATTCAAAAATATTAAAGTTCAATTGGGTCAAAATAATTTAACTACTAAACATAAATACTACAAAGAATACTACATACTGTATTTAATAAATTAAATCGATGTATTTTGTATTTAAAATAAATGAATTATAACAAAATACAAAAAGATTTTTAAAAATTAATAAATATATAATAAATTTTCTTTCATTTAAATAAAAAACTAAAGTAAATTTAAAAGGCCGGAGTTGGAGTCGGAAAAAATGTGTCGAGTCGACACATTTTTCTGACTCAGACTCCTCTGGCCAGAAATTCCTCCTGACTCAGACTCCACAGCCCTGCTATGTATAATAATCAAATGGGCCATGCATAGAAAACATGGCAAAGAGGGTGATGATCAACGCCCTCTCATTCTCTTACAATGATTATACTAAATACGGGAAGATACTGGGCTCAAATACCTACGGGCTACATTAAATTCTCCATACTTAGACCTGAGAGAGGGGAGGAAGATTCACTCATCTGAGATTTTTTTCATTATGCTATTTGTGACATACCTTATTATTTTAAGATATTGAGAGACATATAAAATTGAGTAGTAGTCACCTGTTTTGAGGGAATGATCAACGTGGACACGTAATTTATGTATTTAAGCAGAAACACTGTTTTTACTGAGATTTGTTTATATTTTTATTTTCATTCATATTTTCTAGATAAATCAACAAAATTCAATAAAAATTTGAATTGAAGACAAATAGATAAAAGCAATAATTTATATGAAAACAAAATACCTGTATAGGAAAAATTTATTTATTGAAACTAATAAATTTAATTATAAAATTAAAAGAAATATTACAATCTGATCTGACAAAACTAATTGTTTAGTCTTTAAAATATTTTTTCCAAGAACAGTATAACAATTACACTGTAATTTTTGACAGACAGAAAGGAAAGTTCTTTATTTATGAGACAATAGAACAGTTTTTATATTTTTACATTATTAAATGGCTCTCCTCCCAACCTCCACCTGCAATTGTAAAGTTTATAATCCTTACCTTGATAAACATTCAATTACCTGTAGTTTTAGATATATTATTATTAATTAAGGTACATTATCTTCCAATTGTAATATATATATTTTTAAAAATGTATCGTTACTTATAAGATCACT